TTACCAAGTTTTGAGTTTCTCAGAATTTGAAAATAATCGTATACCGCCAGCCCTTAACTCATAATTTTGCCATTTTTAAACTACACAAATAAAACACTGCATTTAATTATAAAGAGGGAACCCTATGCTTGCAAAATATATTCGAAGAAATGTACATTTTGCTGTGTGTGTCCTCAGATTGTTGTGAAGAAGGGCGAGGAGGTGAACGGCTACTTGAAGGTCAGCACGGGACGAAAGCTCGGCTTCTTCCCCGCTAACCTGCTGCAGGAGATCTGAGGAGGAGCAGCAGGCGTCGTGTCAAACCTCCTGCCAGCTCTCGTCTCTGCTTCATCACCTGCTGCAGCCAATAAGTTGTTCCTGATCTGAAGCATCAATACAGTGACACTTCATGTTCAGACAACACACTTTCCTTTCTTCATATTCAGCACAAATCTTAAATGCAGGATATGCTGTGACAATCCAAAACCTCCTTCACATGCCGTCAGATAATAATAATTTATCTCTCATACTATTTAGCTGCTTTCAGACAGTCCGCACATTTAAAGGCTTCGTGGACGAGAGGTGAAACTTCTTCAAGAAACACAAAGAAGTCCAGTTACATACGTACACAGCTTCTGAAGATCTGGACTCTTGAACATTTTCCAAATGAATTGCTCAGGACATTCTCTGGAACTTTTCTTCATGGCCCCACATATGTGTGTGTGTGTGTGTGTGTGTGTGTGCAGACTGTTGTCACATTACTGGTGTGAATTTATCCATTTGCTCACATGTCTGGGAGCAGATGAGCAAATGTTGGATGAAGATGAAGGGCAGGAATTTCCAGAGCTTGAAAAGGAAGCAGAGATATTTTCTGTATCTGACCCGGCTGCAGTGTCATCAGTCAAAGGAAACACAGTGGGGACGGTTCGCTATGTAAAGGGAGACGGAGGAATGCAGGGAATGGCATCTGTATGTCTGTGGAGATGTCCCAGTGTTAAATACAGGCCTGAATCACATGGAACCAGACAAACAAAATGTTTCACTTCTTTTACCTTTAACTTCCTTTACTTCTAAATAATTCTTCCTGTCTTTGTTCTACCGTTTCATCTTCTCCATCTGTTTTTCTGGATGAAATTGATTGATTCAGTCACTATCTGTTTGTCTGCTCTCTCTCTCTCTCTCACACACACACACAGACACACACAGCCCACGTTCACATGCAGAGGAAGACTTGTCTGGTCACGGCTCCTTCCTCCTCTGTTGTCTGTCAGAGGAGAGGAGCAGCGAGGCCGAAGCAGGTAGCGTTGCCAGGCCTCAGCAGTCGTCTGATCGGGCAACAGAGCACCCCTTCAGACACGGGTCACTTCCTCCTGAGAAACAGCCTCTGCTTCACGCCGCTCTGGCCCGAAAGGACCGCGTGGAAGATATCACAGCTGCCATGTTGTCATTCCTGACCCCCTGACCCTGCCACTCAACACAGGCAGGATGGAGGAGGGGGATGCCAAAATGTTTGTCGTTTGTGTGGGTGGACGATTTCTACGCGGGTGCAGTGGTGAGAGGGCACGGAGGGGCACGACGGCATGATGCTGTAGCAATGAATCTGCTCAGTCCAAGAGAATTTCAGTTGTGTTGGGGACAAACTGTAGATAAATTCTGAGCTATGATTCTGAATTATTTACTTAAAATAATCAAGAAAGATGTTAATAGGTAAAAATAGCTTGTTTTTATCTTCTAAAATTAGAGGAAATAATACAATATTTACAAATAACAAAGAAATCTCCGACCGAGATCAATTTACTTGCTTCTACTTTTGACTGTGTCACATGGTCGTCCTGAGCAAAGAGAGTTGCAACAGGTACATTAGGTGTTTCTGGTGCGAATAAAACAGAATGAATGGAGAATGTATAGTGAAAGGGTGTAGGCTGAGGCAGTAGCTTATCATGCCTACCCTTCAGACCGTGAAGAACAACCCCATTAGGCCCTAAAATGAATTAAATCAAACATAAATATTAAATTAAACAGAAATAAGGTAAATACAAAATAAAGAAGGAGATAAATAAATTGCTTCAAGTAGTTTTGGGGCAGTAGTACTATTTGGGAAGTAGGCTGTATGTTACAAACACACATGATGAACTTTCATAATACCTGCAAAACTTTCATAATACCTGAAAGTTTATTGAAGCTGAGGACTGGAATGAAACTTATGTTCAGCGAAAAATTAATATCCACATTTGTTTAGTGTTTGTGTTTTTTTCCCTTTACTTTATTTCTCTCTTTTATAACCTACCACATTTTCAGCGTGTTGTACTTTGACACCAGTAACATGTAATTGCGATGTCACCCAACAGAGGTCCTTGTTGCACCGGATATAGAGGAAAGAAAGTCCTGCTGTTATTCTCTCTGAACCAACTTCACACAGCTCAGGGAGACAGTGTGTGTTTGTTGTGAGGAACAGTTGATGTGCAAAGTGTCTGTGCCAGAGAATGTAACAAACAAGATCATGTGTT